CACAACGCACTATGTTTTTCAGTAATGACCACAACAGTCAATCACGAAAACTCACAGATAGCAGGCTGAAGGCAACTCTTTATAAGTCGCATCTCATCAAAATCCCCTGTCTCCACTGCCATGACTTAGGATGAAATATGATCTTTGTGTGGATCATTCGGTGGAGAATTGAGAACCCAGTCACTTTTCTCCTCCTTCCCATACCCAAGTACATCCCTATCTAGTCCAGGTCCAAGCAATTTCCAGTACCTGTATTCTACTTGGTAGGTATAGTAAAAGGTAAGCTGTAATTTCAGATGGGGAAAGGATAGTCATTAGCATGTTGGTCCAACATAGAACTCTACAGCCTTAAAAAAGTCAAGACAATACCCATTAGCTATGAAGTTTCAATTCTGTGCTGCCAGTTAGCACACAGAGCTCTGTGACATCACATATGTGGTTCTTCTGCAGCTGGGGAACCCCATGTGGGACTGAGCTCAGGGCCACCAGGATTCCTTTCCCAGAGAGGGAAGAAAGAGTTAAGAACAGTTCTCTTAACTCTATCACCACAAACAATGTATTGTTTTAAAGTGTAATTTTTTTACTAATCATGCAGCCAGACTTTCCCATAAAATAACAACTTAAAACTCATATTTTCTTTTCTGTGTACATAAACATCTATACATAAAATTACACAATACTAGCTTTACACAATAAGTTTTATAATGATGCAGGATCTTAACCACATCTGATTGTACTTTATGTCATTCATCGTGGTGTTGGGAATGAATACAGGCCTCATACATCCATGTTAGACATGTACTCAACCATGGAGAAGCCACCTTAGTTACCCCTCCCAACAATACAGAGCTTGGTGACTGAGAAACTCATCACCCTGAAGGGTCACAAAGCCTAGAAAGGTTTTCTGATCAGCTCTCTAGGAGGTTGTTAGGGTCATTGCAGAGATGCCCTGTCTACACTGGAACAACAAGCATGCTTACCTCTGATGCCCTGTCTACACTGGGACAACGAGCATGCTTAACTCTGATGCCCTGTCTACACTGGGGTAATGAGCATGCTAACCTCTGATGCCCTGTCTACACTGGGGCAACGAGCATGCTTCCCTGAAAACACAGGACTTTAGAGGTGACTCCGCATAGATACATTCCCGCAATTTATCACCATCAGAGCACATGCCACTTACTTCTCCAAGACTACCCATTTTACTATTAAGTTTATTCCTTTCTTTGGAACTTATTTCCTCCTAAAAGTTCCTATGTCACACAAAATCTGCATTTAATAAAGTTGTTCTCTATTCTTCTGTTACTGTGTACCAGGACCTAAGATGGAAAGATGCTGTTTTCTCTATACACTTCTACAGAGCCAGGGAAGTGGCTGTGTTTCCATTTCTAACAACCTGGGTGCCCCTCCCCTTCTAACTCGAGATCAGAGTTAGGCTACCCTAGGCTAACTCATACACCCTGAATCAGCATAACTGGAAAGAACAGTCTTTGGTTCAGCTCAAATGTGTTTTAAATACGATTTCTCACTCCTGTGACAATGTTATTTGGAAAAAACCCAAAAAATCAAAACACTCTAGTTGTTCACAATTCTCCATTAAAGCATCAGCTGTCTTTTCCTTGTTCAAGGAAGCCAGAAAGATTTCTCTAGCAGGCCTCAGAGTGCTTTGCCATCATCACAGGATATTAGGTGTTGCTAAGTAACAAAGCCTTTCTCCTGGAAAGATACTTAATTCAAGTCACTGCCTAGTATTTTAATAGCAAATGCTCAATGCACTGGACTAAAGACTCAGTGCAGTTTCAGATGGTTTAGCTACCTGGTCTGCTTCCAAAAACAGAGTTCAATGATACAAAGGCAGTATTGTGAACATTTTTCCCCAGGTTCAATAATGTCATTTGTTAAAAATCAGTTATGATAAATACCCCAGTTCTTTCTTCTTTCCGTATTCAGTAAACAATTTTTACTTTTCTGAGTTAGTATATGCAGACTTTAGAAGTAAAAATATCTGGAGGAAAACCAAAGCTAATCAGAAGAAATGAAATGTGAACTCAAGTGGCACATCTCAGGTGAATATTCATACCAAACAGAAAATGATGACAACACATTAGCATAAAGAAACTAAAATTACAACAAAAAAGCAGGCTATGAAGTATAGTTGATATTTTTGCCAACATGCAGGCTTGATAATGTTATATAAGTCTATATGGGAAATTAAATTAATATTCAGGCTGCTCTCATGTGTTGGACGTTGCTCCCAGCGTGGAGAGCTGAAAGCCTCTGGGTTTTATGAAGATGCTTAAAGGACGGAAACCTCAAGCTTTTAGGTAGGGAAACTAAACCCAGTTGAGAACAGTGACTTGCAGGTGACACAGGAAGCAAGGACTAAAGTTGGTCACCCCAGAGAGTTTGCCTCTACAACCCATAAGAGAATATGGACCAGAAGTTAAAAAGTATTACAGTTCAAAATTATTTAGTTCCCTTCACTCACAAAACTTGAATCTGTATTCTATCGATACAAAAATAAGTAACAGATTTAGAAGAATGAAAGTTAAGAGAGTCAACCTGAGCAAGAGTCATTGTTTCCTGAAGACAGCATACAGTGTGTGCATGCAGGGGGTGGGGGAGGCCTCAACTAGGAGAGAAATCTAGAATTCTCCCATTAGATGAATCAAAACTAAACCAAACAACATGCAGACAGAAAACTTAAAGGTTTTATACTAGTAATAAAATGAAGGTGAACCTTTCTTGTTAGGTCCTATGGTTACTTCTTGGGACACTAAATCACCAGTTAGAATCTTCACAATGTCCACTTACATACAGTTGAAAACAAACACAAGAGAACTAGGCAGAGAAGCAGACAGACTTGATCAACAGGCTGGGCCTGCTTTACTGGAGGGATGAAGGGTGAGCCGGTTTAGAGGTGCTGGGCACAGATATATACACATACATGGGGAGCTACCAGGAAGCTACGGCTATTTTCTGTGGTTTGACTGGAAGCAAGGTGCACTGTTTTCCGTATCTGAGAACTCTGTTTCTGCAGGAGGGGCAGGATGATTAGGCTGGAACTAAGTAATCTCTGCTGGCTAGAGACTCTTGCTCTGTACTGACCTGATTCCTCGTGTCCTGAGGCTATTACCCAACACACATCACTATATATTGTTACACTGGAAATACAACAAAAGCAATTATTTCACAGGGAACAACATCATGGAATATCAGAAACTTGTTTCTGAGCCAAACAAGGCAAAAAGATGTGAGTAGCATGTTTCTATTTATGTTTAAAGTCAAAGCCAGACATAATTAATCCCTTTTTAGATGTCGAGGAAACAGAAATGAAACAGTCAATTAGGGAATCATAAAGTTCTCAATGCTGTCATTTTCTCTTTAATGAAGTGGATAAGGCCTGTGCAAATTCAGGAAACTTTAATACAGTTTTCTGAGTATATATTTCTTTCTTTTTTTGTTTTTTGCTTTTATTTTTGTTTGTTGAGACAGAGTTTCTTTGTGTAGCTTTTGAGCCTGTCTTGGAACTCCCTTTGCAGACCAGGCTGGCCTCAGACTCACAGAGATCTGCCTGCCTCTGCCTCTTGAGTGCTGGGATTAAAGACAAGCCCCATCACCACTTAGCCTGAGTATATATTTCAATGTTCACTTAAAAATATATAAACCTTGGATATGAACAAACCAGTAGAACATTTTTGATCTAATAAATATTTTGATTAAGGATTATATATTACAAAGAAAAACAATAAAAGAGTGCTGGCTGGGCGGTGGTGGCACACGCCTTTAATCCCAGCACTCGGGAGGCAGAGGCAGGTGGATCTCTGTGAGTTCGAGGCCAGGCTGGACCGAATAGCCTCCAAAACAATACAGAGAAACCCTGTCTCGTAAAAACCAAAAAAAAAAAAAAAAAAAAAAAAAAGAGTGCTGGGTACATTATTGGTGCTCTTCTCTTTCTTAAGTCAGGAACTCTGTCAGTCCTGACCTTGAACTCTGATGCTCCTGCTTCAGCTTTTCTAGTATAGGAAGTCTAGGTGTGAGACACAGCAGCTTTGTTTTTAAGTGGTATATATGAAATGCGAAGATATCTAGGAATGTAAAAAGAAAATAAAAATAATGTATAGATACGGGAAATGTAGAAAAACTTTACTATTATTGAATTAGGTAGATAGTATATGTTCTATTTAGGATTACTATTGTTGCAATGAGATAACATGACCAAAAGCACGTTGGGGAGGAAAGGGTTTATTTGGCTTACACTTCCATATCATAGTCCATCATTGAAGGAAGTCAGGGAAGGAACTCAACAGGACAGGAACCTGGAGGAGCTGATGGAGAGGACACGGAGGGGTGCTGCATACTGATTGCTCTCTGTGGTTTGCTCAGCCTACTTTTTTTTCTTTATAGAAACCAGGACAACCAGCCCAGGGGTGGCCCCACACACAATGACTGGGTTCTCCCATATCAATCACTAATTAGGAAAATGCTCTACAGCCACATCTTATGGAGGCATCTTCTCAATTGAGGCTCCCTCCTTTCAGATGACTAAAATTTGACCTCTGATTGTGTCAAGTTGACATAAAAAAAGCCAGCCCAGTACATGTTATATATATATTTAAGAAAAATACTATGTGGGAATTTGCTGTTCTTTTCATAGTTACAACAGTTTGAACATCTCACAGCTGAAAGACAAGAGTACATAATCATCTGACCAAGCCTATAACACACAACTTTATTTCCTTGAAACAGTAAAACTGGGGTCAGTTCAAGGTTGGAAACTGTTCAGTATACAGTTCCTAAGTGGCATGCATGTGCCCCACGCCAAATCCTGTATGCTTCACCACAATAACGATGCATGCTGTGTTCATATCAGCTAGAGGAAGGAGGAAAAAGCTAAACGTATCTACGTCTTTTGGGAATTTCTTTTTATTTATTTATCTAGCTGTTTATTTATTTGTTTTATGTGCACTGATGTTTTGCCTGCATGTGTATCTGTGCAGGTGCCAGGTCCCCTGGAATTGGAGCATCAGAAAGCTGTGAGTTGCCATGTGAATGCTGGGAATCGAACACAAGTCCTGTGCAAGAGCAGCCAGTACTCTCAAGCGCTGAGCCATCTCTCCAGCCCCTGGCATTTCTAACTTAAGGGAAACATCTATTGTCTGACTCTGGGTCACAGGTTAGGAGTTTAACTAGTCGGTGGTAAACACTTGAAGAGAAAGAAAAAGAGCACAAAAAGATCAAGAAGAAAACAGTGGAGTGATAAGAAAAAAGAGGTGAAATTAGTGTATTTTAATAGGAAAGGAGAAAGGCAAGAGCGGTAAGGCTTGTGAGCTGCCTGCAAGTCTGAGTAAGTGAATGGGAAGGCTGATAAGGGAACTAAGGTGATGCTCAGGGCTGCAAAGAGAAGCACCAGAGGTCTTAGGGTACCAACAATAGACAATGGCTGACTGGCTGCCTGCAGCCTGGGAATGGAGAAGACAACTACAGTAAGGACTAGTAGCTACAGACCTAGGGTGGAGATGGCTGAATACTTTTAGCAGTGTTTGGAGTGGGAAGGACGGCTCATGGAGGAAGAACAGGAAACCTGACCAGTTGGCAGGCCTCAACTATGCACCCAAGAGTGACAGGAAATGGATATAAACTGGATTAATGGTAGGGAGGAGACCAAAAATAACTTAAGATGACATAGTAATAAGTAATTTTACATGTCAGGTCCTTAACAGTCATTATGCTACTTAATATAGGGGTGAATTTAAAAACAAACAAAAAACCAAAAAAACCAAAGACTGAATTAGATACTGCCAAAAACACTGAAAGTTTCAAGTACCATCGGGCTCTCTCAGTCATGTGACAGCAGCCATACTTAGTTTGCAGAGACAAAGAAGCCAGTCCAGAATTTGAAATCGAGGACACTGAAGGTCTGAGAGCTTAATCACAACAAACATCAGATCGAATAACAGAACCCAGAATTTCCCAGGCCAGGCCAGTGTCACTACTATCAGTGTCAACACTGAGGCGACTGGGTGAGGTCAGAACCAAGGGATATGTGGGCCAGCTTCTCTCCTCACTTCCACAGGTCTCGGCCCAGCTGTTTCCTTCTTTACTTCAGGCCACGAGACTGACAACTCAGCAAAAGCCCTCCGGTAAGGAGAAATATGGAGACACTCTGCAATCACGCAGTGGTGAAGAGAGCTGACAAATGATCAATGTGCAAAGACAAATTTAGATTCATTGACCATCTTATGGTTAAAACATGAAATCAGGCTACTCCTGAGGGGAAGTATATCCACCCCAACAGGGAAGAAAGTAACATATACACCAGTGTTCGAGTACACAGGCATTCTGCTACACTCCGTGCCCATGAGGCTTTGCTGCCAGAGCAACAGTTTAGTACCTGTATTTCCCAAATTATTGTGCCTGGACTATCTGAGGTAGGGACCCATTTTCGCTGCTTTCTTCTCTGTCAAATCTACAAACTGTCACTTTTTGGATACGGGACAAAGGAGTTGCCTTTATAATACTATTTTAGTACACCTCTATAGATTATAATTGGATTGGGATGTGGGTCTAAGTATGAGAAATCACTAAAAATGTTTTTGATTTGAAAACAATACAATTTTTAAAAGGTTCTTTACAAATCATTTGTGTTACACTGTGCATTTCAAAAACAGGGGTGGTTTTTGTTTGTTTTAAGTCACCATAGGAGTATTTTGCTGCGAATACCCTGTGGTTTTAGCACAGCAGAAAGGAAAAAGAAGAAAGTAGACTCTGTTTCCACTTAAGGCCTCATGCAAAGCTGCTTAGCAAAGGTCCCTACGGGCATCAGTTCATTGTCACCAGCACTGGCTCTGACAGCAGTAGGTATTTAATTATATTTTCTGGAGGAGGGAGAATGTTAAGTTTCAGATAATTAAAGTGTAGTAGAAAGTAAAAAGGAATTATAATGTGGTATCTGCCAGGTGACCTGGCCCCTTAGTGACAGAAAACAGAAGCCAACTCTTCTCTTTACATGGACTTGCAATCAGACCTTGTACACAGTATTATTTCAAATAACTGTCGGAATAAGGCTCAGAGAAGAAGGAAGCAGAGTTCTAGCTGAGACGCAAGAATTTCAGTCAATTTATTGTCCCACACTGTCTCTGTAGCACCAGCAGGGAAGAAACTACCTCCGAACAATATAGGCAGAGCTGCAGGTGTGGCATAAATATATAAATGATACATAAAAACACAAACTTAGAAATTCTGTAGTACCTACACTGTTTAAGAGATAGGCTACAAGTTAATCAAAAATTCTTAATTAGGAATGGAAATATAGCCCAATGGTACAGCATTTGCCAAACACACACACAAGGCCTTCTGGGTTTCTGTTTTTGTTGAGACAAGATCTATGTATCCCTTGCTGTACTGGAATTCATTATGTAGACCAAGTTGGCCTCAACCTATAGAGACCTACCTGCCTCTGCCTCCCAAGTGCCACCATGCTGGGCAGGCCCTGGGTTTCTTACCATTTAGTACCTCATAATTACAATAACGAAATTCCCAACACACACACACACACACACACACACACACACACACACACACACACACACACTCCTACTACAGTCAGTAAAAGCTTAGCAAGATTAAAACAGTAATGAGGTCTTTTTTGGGTCATTCACATGTTTATTATGTAGAAACAAACTTTAGGGTCAAAGACCTTTATTAAAAGATACACGGAAAAGTTAAAGAAAAAGCTTCTTTTCAAATTTCATTTTGCTACATTGTACCTATTAGTCTCTTACAAAGTAGTTAACTTTACATCTCCATCCATTTTCCAGCCCAAGGACTCCTAGAACTTAAAAATGTAGAGTTCAGCATGATGCCTCCTCCTACCAGTTCTCTGTGCCTGAAGTTTTTTCCCTCAACAAATACAGCTTTTATCTCCTAGAGAGCTCCTAAAATCTCCACTAAACCAATTTTAATTACACATCATATTTTAAAAGTATTGCTTTAATGTCTTTATGTTACACAAGAGTAAACAGATTCTGAGAGTTTAGCTAACAGGCACATGGTTGCATAGAAATTAATTCTTAAACAGTGACCAAAATATCCCACGAGTCCTTTGAAATTAGTTTAATGGGAAAAAAAAACCACATGAATTTTATCGTTTGTTATAATGTGACCTAAACATTTCATTCAAATAATACTAAACAATATTAAATACTTATATTTAACAATTTTATCCCACGGCTTCTGAGTTTCTATGATGTTTTCAACAGAGCTGGCAGTATAGCAAACTCTCCTGCTGTTGCACAGGGCATCAGTGTGTTCACAGAGTTTAGAGGACACGGGGCACTAATGTGGAACCGTGGGGAGGAACTACTGACTATTTCTTAGTCAGGTTAAGAACCTGACTGTTAGATAAGAAATCTTGGGCAGATCATTTATTTAGTTCAGCCTCAGTCTGGTCACGGGTTACATGGAAATCATGCCTACTTTCACTCAAAGGCTTCATAAAACAGTCCAAACACCAACATAAGAATAAAAGCTGCTGTGTTGGAAAGGGTGGCAAAGGAGTTGACAATTTTCTTAAGGATAGTTTTGTGGTTCTGAAGCTTTTGTTAACAAAGGTTGACAGGAAGAAAATGAACATAATCCTTCAAATTTCTATTTCAATGAGTATGAAACCAAGTGACTGAAAACTTTGGAGCCTATCCTGGCACTCACTCTGCAGACCAGGCTGGCCTCAAACTCACAGAGATCCACCTGCCTCTGCCTCCCGAATGCTGGGATTAAAGGCATGTGTCTCCAATGCCCAGCCGGTGCTATCTTTTGAATAGGCAAATGCAGACTACAATGAGCATGCATCAGCGTAACTCAACACCACAAACATGCTCCAGAGGCCATCAGTGGGTAGGGGGAAGAAAAGGGCAAGGGGAATTGGGTATTTTAATGTGGGCTTAAAGGTGGCTTTCCTTTTTTCTAAAGAGTCAGGTAAATAAGCTCTATTCCCCATACTACACTATTTCTAGAAGGAAATAAGGCAATTCTTCATGACCCAGATTTGGTAATGATTTATTGAGCATGATGCCAAAAGTAAAGATAGACAGATGGGGATATCAAGATTAAATGTTCATTCATCAACAGATTGAAAAGCCATAAACTGAATGAAGAATATATTACATAGGTGGTTCATACCTTGAATATACACTGAAACACCTCTAATTCATCAACAAAATGAAATAACTCGCTTTAAAAAAGAGCAAAGGATGTGAAGATAGACTGCTCTAAAATGACATACAATTGCCAGGATGCATTGAGAACATGCTCAGCACTGCTAACCATGACTTAAGGACTGAAACCACAGTCAGTTATTTTTTCAGCTGAACGGTTGCTGTAAAAGATACACATGTTGTGGAACTTGAATTTGGGTTCTTATGCATGTATGGCTGTTAGATGGTAAAATTGTACAGCTGCTATGGAAACAGTAAGACAATTCCCCAAAAAACTTACAAATCTAACTGCTATGTGACTGAGTAATCTCAATTTACATCCAAAAAATCTAAAAGCGAGTCTTTAAGAGATGCACACCTTTATTCATAGCAGTGTCCATCACAACTGCCAAGAGGTATTAGAAGCCCAAGTGTCTACCAATGAACAATGGATAATTAAATGTGTATACACCAGTGAAATACCATGCAGCTTTTAAAATGAGGAAAATCCTGTCACATATTACAATATACATGAACCCTGATGACATTGCGCTAAGTGAACTAAGTCAAGTCACATAAGGTCTAATACTGCATAATTCCCTTTCATTGGAAAATCAAAATCATAGAAATCGGAAATACAATGGTGGTTATCAGCAGCTAATAGGTTATGGACGGGGGAAAGCAGTGCTGTTTAATGATAGCAGAGTTTCAGTTTAGGAGGATGGAAATGTTCTGAAGAGCTGGTTTATACCAGTGCAAACAGCTGACTCCTTGGGCATTCAAGATGGCTCGGTGGGTAAGAAACATTTGCCACAAAGCCTGACAACCTTAGTATGTGCGCGTGCACACACATACACACAAACACACACACACACTCTCTCTCTCTCTCAATAAAATAAATCACTAACCCCTATGAAATAATATATGTGAACAGGTGTTAAGTGATAAATTATATATATTCTTTCTACAATACAAGAGTGAAGGTCAGCCTTAGGACTGGAGAGATGGCTCAGTGGTTGAGAGACTGGTTGTTTTTTCAAGAGGACATGGGTTCAATTCCCAGCACCCACATGACAGCTCACAACTGTCTGTAACTCCAGTTACAAGGGACCTGATACCTTCACACCAATGCACATAAATAAAGTTAAATAAATCATTTTCTTTAAAAAGTTCAGTCTTAATACCGTACTTCAGGTTCTGTTGACCTAGGTCTCCATTTATCTAAAAAAAAAAAAAAAAAAAAAAAAGATTCTGTTCTGAACATCCGGCAGCAAGGACTCTGATACAAAACAGACACCAAAGACTGTCAAAAGCAGCAGATGATGCCTGTCACCCACACCCTTCCCACAGAGCAAGGGATGATGTTAGCTCAGGGGCTGGTTTTGTGCATGGTTGTAAAGCATTTATGACTATGCTTTGAACTTTAACATCTTTTTTTGTTGCGATATTTTTTCAGACACAAAGATATTACCGCTTTAACCTGATGCCACCTTGACAGCAGCTGGCAGGAGGGACCACGGCAAGACCTCACACATCAGGGACCAGGTGGTAGCCTCACAAGAAAAAGAACAAACAAAGATGGTCTGGATTTCAGAGGAAGAAGTGAGGGGCAAGGGTGGGGAGAAGGAAGCGCCTGGAAGCCCCTATTTGAAACCAACCCAAAATCTTAGGGGCAGTTCCCAGCTCCAGTTTATAACGATAACTGATGCTACAGAGTTACCTTCAAATAAATGATCTCATGATAAATAATACTTCCATAGTCCCTCCTAGACATAAGAAACTCTGGAGGCTGATGGACACTAAGTAAAATGCTCAAAAATACTAGGTTGTAGAGGATAGGCCCATATTTCTACCTAAGGCACAGATTCAAAAAATTTCCTGGAGCTCTTGAAGCCACGCTTTTCCTGCCTGGTGAGAAAGTATTAACAGCTATCTCCCTCAGAGGACACACACCCATTCAGAACCAGGTTCCACTCACTTTTGTATTCCCAAGATATCAACGCTTTTTTGGCACCCAGAAAGTCCACAGCTAACTCATGTAGGACTGTGGCCTTCAGATGTTGAGGATGGGACACTGAGCATATTTTACCCTCTTCAGGCAAATCATCTTTGTTTAAACTTTAGTGGAATTCTATGTTACCAGCATCACCCAGAATCTGTCAAGGAGGTGCTCACAGGACAAAGTCCTGCTGCCTGGCCTGGTTTGAAGGGCCCTTGCAGTCATGGTGAAGACCTGTGTCTAGTCTCCCAAGAGTGAATTCCTGAGTGCTTTGGGGGAGCACAGGCCACCCAATCTCCTAAATCCCCAGGTCTACATCCTGAGTGGTCAGCTTCTTTAACAAAGCCAAGGAGGAGTATGGGGCTGGGGCTTGCATATGGGCCTAAGCCCATCTCTCCAGTTGCACTGGAGACCTTTGGGCTGCCCATGATTAGCCTTCCTAGGATGTTTCATATGTAATGTGAAAACTTCAGCTATTCTGAGCTTGGGTTGCTAGTGACAGTGTAATGAAATGGCCTGAAGCACATCTCATAATGGTCCTACTTCCTTCCTGGGCTTCACTTCCTTTTCACAATCCCAGGCCCCATATCTGAGGATCATCTGTAATAATTATACCCCCACAGTCTGCAGGTTGTCATACCCTCCTTTCGTGGGGGTCAAAACCGGAAAGTAAATCTTCCTATGGAGGTTAGTGGGCCATACTTGGAGAACTATCTGTTCCTTGATAAGTTCTGTGCCTTTTGACTTAGAATAAAAAAAGGCACAGCATACATGCAGAGACTGAAGACAACAACTTAAACTCTTACTGTAAGGAAAAGCAAAACCTTGACACCTAATCTCAACACAGCATTGCAAATCACAGACACCATGTTCACAAGGGAAGGAGTAATTAAATCTAAGAAAACATATTGCAGACCCCAGGGGGCTGAAGCACACGCAGGAAGTTTGACAGGTTCTCTTACTCTGCAATCCAGAATACCTACCTACCACAATGCCACTTATTAAAGAACAGTCAAAGCAGGGAACTAGATAACTATCAAGTTATTAAGCATACAGCACAACGCCTGCCATTCAAAGAGGCAAGACAATGAACATGAAGAGGAGCCTTCAGCGGTCCCTTGTAACGCAGATCAGCAGTTACAACTGACATAGAATACAGTGTTCTTTATCCCTACAAATGCGTCACATCTTTCCCAAGAACTCCGGTTGCTCATGTCTGAAATTCCCACACCTAGAAGGAGGGTTACATAGTGAGGTCCAGGCCAGAAACAAACTAAAAAAAAAAAAAAAAGAAAGAAAAAAGAAGCAAAGAAGCATCATAGTCTCCCAGTGACCTCTAAGCTAGGAAGCTAGCCCTCTAGCCATCAGATGTCACCCTCTCCTAGAATGCTGTATACTGCAAGATCTTTGCTTCAGGAAGCTGGCACATCCTGCCCATCCCGGGATGTGCCTGCATCTGTACTATGTTTGTTAAGATTTGAGGCAGGAGATACTGCAGAATATGAGTACCTGAAGTAGGCATAAAAACTGCCCAAGTGCAATTCAAGACTCTACTGAATAAAGCAGGAATACTAGCCACCTTAACCAGGACAAACACAGAAATAAGGAACCACTCAAAGTATAATTTTTCCAAATTTTACCTAAACATTTCATGAAGCCACCAACTCACCCATTTCCATCTGGCTAACACCAGGAGACCTGCCACGGCTTCTCTGAAGGCACTAATTTTGTAGAGAAGGAAGAGAAACCTGCTGGTGCCGAGAGGGAGGTCTGGCTCATGCTGCGCTCTGCCTCGAGCAGTAAGGCGCACGCCTCAGCTCATGGCACGTCTCCATTACTGTAATTTTCCCAATTCAGTCTCATTTGCTTGAATGGGAGCCTTCAATATTAACATGTGGAGTGCTGCAGAATGCAGCGGACATTTTTTTTTCAGAATTTAGACTGTCAGCATGTTTTAGGGGTAGGGTAATCTGATTTGCCTATCTATCTGTCCAATGAACAGATATAAAAAATACATTACTAATTGAGAGGAAAGTTGTCAATTTGACTTGGCATGAAATGGATTACTTGAAAATATGCACAGTTAAAACATGTCAAAAACACAGACTATGGAATCATGTACATTTCACCTAGAAGACCAATAATGTATAAAACTATATTAGAAACTACAAAGAAAATAAAGTGTACAAAGTATTTAGCTTAGTATATAGTAAACATTTTTAAAAAGAAATAAAATGAAACTAGAAATTGTATTTCAGCGTTCTAACATACAAGCTCATTAGGCTAGCTACAACTATAATTTCTAGTTCAGAAAATACTCGAACTTGCAAACTTTAAAATACAGTATGAGAAGCACCGTCTTGTTGAGCTTCTCTCCTTCCCTCCCACTGGCCCTGCTTACAGTGCTTCTTGGCTCTCAAGAGACACTTTCTGGTCTGTCTCTGTTGTTCGCTCTCTCCCTCCCTTCCCTTTCTGTCCCCCCAAACCTCCCCTGCCCCCAGTTTCTCTGTCTCACTATGTAGCCCAGCTTATTCTCAGAGTCACAAGAATCTTTGTCCTTCAGATCTCAAATGCTGCAATGATAAGCGTGCACACCTTACCTGGCTCACACACACTTTCCAATTTTTAGACAGGATCATGTTAGACAGTACCATACCTAAGTCTAAGACAGCAACAGCTTGTCCACTCCATACAAAATAAAAACAAATAAATACATGTAAAGGTAACTGAGTGCAGAAACAATGAGCACTCTGGCACTAGACATAACTATATTTTGGAACTAGGAGCTGAAGAGACAGCTCAGTAATGAACAGTGTTTACTACTCTTGCAGAAGAGTGGTTTCTAGCATCCACATCAAGTGACCGACAACACTTTGTGACTCCAGATCTGCTGTCCTCTGACCTGCAAGTACATGGTTTGCATAAACTCATCTAGGCACACATATATACAGATAATAAACAAATCTTTAAAACTAATTTGAGTTAAGCATATAAAGACAGGAGTTTTTTTTTAACGTCACAGATATTTACTATAAAAAGCATGACCAGTTAATCCTAAACTGAAGCACGGTGAACTAAACACATATGTTCCGCCACAGCACACACTTATAGCTAATCACAGCTTTAAAACCGAGTTCATATATTATTTTGATTAAATGCAAAGGACATTAAAATTCCAAATTATTGCATCCACTTATATTCCAAAAAAATGCTATGTCAACTCCTGAGGGTTTCACCAAGCCTTTGAAGCATGGACATTAGCATCTTCACGGTAGTGAGACGATTTAAATGTATTTATAATTTGGATTGATCTAAAGAAAAGATAAAAAAAAACAATCCAACAGAACAAAAACAAAAGAGAAACGGAAATACAAGCACAATGAGCCAATGGCTTAAGGAGTCTAGAGAGAAACAGCTAGATCCGGCAGTTCTAGGCCATCTCCACAGCTTACTTGCCCGTGCAAGTTTGAGAAGCAGTACTGACAGCTACCAGAAAGCAATTCTAATTGCGGAACAGAAACAAACACGATGAAGACTGCTGTCCCTGTGAGAAATCTGTGACGCATCTGTTTAAGAGCTCCTGGAAATTAAATATGTAGACTAAATGACAGGTCACACAGCACCTTCACACCAAAATACCCAGAGGTGATGCCGCAGTAAAGAGCAGAGTTCATGCTCAGTGATGTCGAGAGAACAGCCGGGAATAGGCTTGTTTGCTTAAACTGGGACTGCTGCATATGTCCTGCTGGTGCAGGAGAAAACCTCGTTTGACTCATTCTGCCGAAAATGAAATAAAGTCACGTTGCATCAGACGCTGAGTAAAACTGACTCCATAGACAAAGCTACTTAAGAAGACCCTTACTGGTTCTAAAGATCTCACATCTGAACTGGATAAAAAGCTCAGGTTCTAACACATTAATTTTTAAAAAGCCAAACAGAAGCTCATGCTATTGAGAGTCAGGACGTATATTTAACAAGAAGTTGCTGGTGATGCCTACAGAGGCTGAGTCCCCACTCCTAATGAACCAAAGCTGCAGGCTGGAATAATGGAGACTTAGGACAAGTCACAATGATCAAATGGTATTTAGGGACTACTTACAGTTTAGAAAAAACAGCCTTTTGTGTGCTGCCGCTTCCTTTGTGAGACCCTGCTTTCATCTACGTCTAAAATGCTGACTATACAGTTTTAAAATTGAGCAGAACATCCTCATTCTAACGTAAATACCTTTGCCTTCTCGTCATAGCGAAGCCACAGATTGCAGCAATAATGCTAATAAATGTCCAGGGGATCTACTTCTCACTCCCGATGCTGAAAGGCAAGTATACTGCATGCCCGGAGTGCTAAGGATTTTGGTGCAGAAACTACTAGCATAGTCTTGACAGTCTGATAAACTGCCTCACTTTTCAAAAACATCCTACGGATGATTCCGGCCATGGTACCCACGAGAGGTACAGTGAGGCTTGCTTCCAGCATGCATCTACCTTGCACATGCCCCACCGCCCTCGCTCTCATTTAAGAGATGCTTTAGCTTACTTGAGATCTTTACACCAGTGCTCTGCACCAACATTAAAACAGCATCTGACTGCATCCAGCAAGACCTGCACATCTATCTCATCAGCAACAGAAGTCTTACCTGGGAACCCCCCGTGGACCATGCTGCAGGAGTGCTCCCTTCAGGGCTTCTGTACTCCTAATGGCTGATGCTGGAACAGCTCCACTCTCTCCACAGACTCTGTCCTCTCTCTCCTCACGACCTTGGGTCTGTTTTCTTTTCTTTTCCTTTCTTTTTTCAGATTTTATTCTTTTTAAGGGCATGAGAAACAATCAATTAAGCTAATTTCAATCTCTCCCTCGAGCTAACAGTCACATCTGCCAGTAGAAGAAAGCTGCCTGGAGAAGTCTGCCGGGGAGCTGCAAAAAAACCCTTGGTTCTCCAGTCAGATCCTCAGATGCTGCACGCTGCTGGCTGTGACACTCAGTCACCCTGCTCACATAGGGACTGCATACTGTGGGCTCTGACACTAGTCACCCTGCTCACACAGAGAAGATGGCTCTATTTCAGAGCAGGAGGCAATATAAACGCAACTGTTTATTTTGTGACCAACTTCAACTGATACCACGCTAATGTCCAATTTT